TAATTAATTAAACTCACTGTAGGTACTTTTTAAATAATGTACCTGGACTTTTGGTTGTTATCTTTTTGTGAAGCTCTCGTATATAATTGCCACCTGTATTAAATGATACTACAGCAGTACAGCAGTATATATTCTAGTGGTGTACGACTGTTTTTGAGAAAAATTAATTCGTTTACCACCTATGTGCTTATTAATGACACTATTAAACTGTTCGCAGATGTTGTTATCAACATCAAGTAATAAACTTTTTGCATTATCAGCAACACGTCTAAGTGCAGTTGTCATTTCTTTCATCAAACCACTTTGCATTACTTCGTCGATCAAATTCAGTTCGTATAACTTTCTTCCAGTGCAAAAATATCGGGCACAATTAGAGTGTTTGCCAAATATATGGTATGGACTATTTAAAATATCCTTTCGCAAATTATATTCAATTTATAATATGTACCACTTTACCTGGTTGTGGCTTAGATTGTCTACATTGAATGATTTCTGTTAATTGTTATAAATGGTTTTTTGAGTACCTACCTATTTCTTTTTTTATCATACCCAAATTGTTCGATAATTCAAGTAATACGGCCTATTTAAATAGTTTACAGCAAAACTACCTATTATAAAAGTTTTAGAGAAGAATTTTTTCAACAATTGAAATAAGCTCGATTTTTTATATTTTTATTAATAAGTTAAATAATTAATCGATAAAAAGTAAAAAAAAAAAATGTTAATTTACCATGCGATATTGGACGATTGGAATACGATATCAAAAATCGGATTTATTACGATTGTTAAAAAAATTCTCCTCTACCACTTTTATAATAGGTATTTTTACTGTAAACCTCTTCAATAAGCCGTATTAATTGAAGAACAAAAGTAGTTTTTATTTGTATAAAATTCGGATAAGAAGAGTTTGGCCTAGTGAACAAAATATGGTTTCGTAATTCAAGTAATACGGCTTATTGAAGCAGTTTACAGTAAAAATACCTATTATAAAAGTTGGAGAGAAGAATTTTTTTAATAATCGAAATAAGCCCGATTTTTTATATTTTTATTAATGAGTTAAATAATTAATCGATAAAAAGTAAAAAAAAAAAAATTGTTAATTTATCATGCGATATTGGACGATTGGAATACGATATCAAAAATCGGATTACTTACGATTGTTAAAAAAATTCTCCTCTACAATTTTTATAATAGGTATTTTTATTGCAAACCGCTTCAATAAGCCGTATTACACTATTACCTACTTGAAGAACAAAATTATAGTTTTTATTTGTATAAAATTCGGATACGAATACAAAATATAAAATCGAACCAAATTAAATAATATTTGTCACAAATATAATAATCATTTTCTTATCTGGTTATTTATAATCTATGCACGGGCGGTCGGCTGCGATAGAGAACCTGTTTTGACCATGGTGCGGTACCGCCGTTAATGCGCGCGGGGTGGTGGTATGCACAGCTAGTATCGAACGCTGCCACTGACTACGGGCGCAGCACTTGCCGAGCGTAATTTTCTGCAGTTTTCTTATAAAACATACTTTGCGCGTTCCAATAATATGGGTTACTGAGTGGTTTAATCGTAAAAACACCTATGAACAAAATTGTAGAGGAGAATTTTATCTGGTTCCGTAAGAAGCCCGATTTTTGATATCTTTAAAACATCATGAAATATATCATGATTAATAATACACTTTTTTTTCATTTTCCGGAAGTTAATTTTAGGACTTAGAAATGAAAATTTCAAAAATCGGGCTTCTTACGGAACCAGATAAAATTCTCCTCTACAATTTTGTTCATAGGTGTTTTTATGATAAAACCACTCAGTAACCCATATTATTGGAACGCGCAAACATGTTTTTAAAGGAATTTTTCGAGTGATTTTTTTGGGTGACACGTCCTCTTAACACATATTTATGATTCATATCGAGTATTTTGTTATGTTTATCAATTTTTTTACAACATTCAACATAATTTGTATATATAAAACAGTAAGCTGATGGACTGCTATCAATGCACAGCTTAAACGATTGGACTGAAATTTGGCATACAGATAGCTATTATATCGTAGGCATCCGCTAAGAAAGGATTTTTCGAAATTTTGAATTTAAAGGGTTGAAATCGATAAAAAAAATTTACATGTAATTTGTATATCTATATTCATATAATAATAACAATAGCAGTCAACCGATTACGGGAAATACGGTACGGCACGGCGGCCAGAGGGTTTCCATCTACCTGTACTCTGACCTTTTTTTTGTGTGTATTTTATCAGCGTGTAGATATGAATTGTTCCTGGCTTATTTATGAGTTGTATAGAAATTAGAAAACACCGACTAGCTCAATTATACAAATCTTAATCTTACTTTACAGCGATTTCGGGGTATTATTATAAGCCGGGTTTTTAGCTATTTACACGTATAGTATACAAATGTATAAGATGTCTTGATTTTTTTTTGAAACTAAAGAGTATTTCACGGAGAAGGTTTATATAAAAGAACATTTCAGGTAAGTCCATCGGTTTATAATATATTGGTAGCTATTGGTTAATCGGTCATGTTTATTGATTTGTATTATTATCTTTTGCCAATACACATATAATATATAATATATACAAGAAGATCTGATAAGTAGTTCCAGAATTTAGTCTGTATAGTTATAGTCTATGACCAGTGGCGTATCCCCCCCCCCCGAAAATTGTTAAATTATAACAACGTTATCATTAATAAATCATTTTAAGATAAAATTCCACAAAAATAAATTATAACCCCTCCCGAAAAAAAATTCTGGATACGCTACTGTCTATGACCTATGTGGCTATGTATATAGTTAGAAATATGTTCATATAACTATATATATATATATATATATATATATATAAATTAATGTTTTTGGGTAGATTAGACCTCTGGAAAGAAGATAGGTTAATTTACAGAGGGTTAAATTTGTTTTTTTTATTTATCAGATTTTAGTACGGTTAGGTTAGGATAGAATTTTGTATAAATTGATTATATTAACCTACCGTAGGTGGAATTAAGTAAAATCTACAAACTTTTTATAACTTTGATACTTTAGAGTTAAATCATACACTTATTTACAAACAGCACGGGGCCCACGATGATCTATACCGTATGTAGATGCCTACCTGATAATGTACTGCTGCGAATCAGAAATTTTATTCCGGCCAACGGAAAAGTTAAGATAAATTTTGAACACCATACAACGAATATTAAATAACGAATCGAACAAAGTTTGAGTCATATAGAGTTGATACATTTAATGGGCAACGAAGTGCACGGAATCAGCTAGTATTATATAAATTCTAATAGTAAGTAGGTACACTGAAATTCAAAATGTTTTCCAAATATATATGGAATATAATTATTTTACCACCTCAGCTGGTATTCTGACGGATACGGAATTCTAACCTTTATTCAAATATTGGTGTAATTGGTCATTTAAAATGATGTCGGAAAGCTCGTTATTATTGATACGGTCGTGTGTTAAAAACCACGCTAGTCAACTTACCCTGATCCAATTAGTAACAACAACAAAATAATTGTTATAGGTTAGAATTAAATCAAGAAAAAACGAAAGAGATCAACTCAAAATCATTTCTCGATCGACCTGTTGGCCCACCCCTGGCATGAAATACACTGCAATACGGGGTGTAACAGCCAACAGGAAGGCCTGACAGAAAAAAAAATGATGCTACTTAAACGTATGACCAAAATTGTGAAAATTATAGGTTAATAAATAATTGAAGAATAATATACTCTTGTCAAAAAAATTCCCTAAAAAAATATTGATGTTATAAAAATTCTAAAAACTACTTGACTAGTTGATAAATGTTTTTACAATCAAAATTGTTCTTATAATCAGATTTACAAATTGGCTATTTTGAATTTTTCCATAATAATTTAATTCAAATTTTTTTTATATTATACGTGTAGCGCAAGTGACTATACATATAAAAAATTTTTTTAAATATTGATTAGATGAAAAGTTATTTCATCTATCAGGTCTTACATTCTGATATATGCACAAAAGGGATCTTAGAGTAATCCGGTCAACCCCTCATGCTGCTCTTTTTACGAGGACGCAGCTCCGCTTATACGTGTATAATATTATAGTATAGTGTCAGAGTTCTGAAATTAAGATTTTAACTCGACCTTACAAAATGTCCGAGTTATACATTTTAAACAATGGTGAATGGATCGTACAAAGCGACTGTTTACCACTAAGAATAAGCATCGAAATACTTGGGGGATAAAGAAATTATTCCTATAAAAATGCAATATAATACAGGCATATAGAGGTTCTAAGTTTTAAAGTTCTATATGTGAAGTGGACAGTAGTACACTAGTATAATATTATATTATTTATTAATAATATATCCGTTTTATAGTTGACGATTATTATAATCATCGTAAAAAAGTAAATTAATAATTTCCAAATGTAAAGGCTGCATATTAGTGAAAAAATTACTGATATTAAATAGATATATAGTAAATGAAGTCAATTATAAACACGTTTAATATTTTCGCCTTCAAAAAATGTCTAAACGGTGTTTAATCGATTGATTATATGATTTTATTGCATGATATGATGATCAACGATGAAATGAAACGCCTGGGAAATATTAATGGATGCGACCCTATCCTTGGACGGAATTCGAGAGCTCGGAAAAGCTGTAAGCGGTAAACACGACGGATACAGTTCTAGTTAAATAATATTATATTATTACGCGGAGCGATGCGAAAAGCGCGGCAATATGAGTTTCGAAATTGCCGGTGATATTCCGCGGCGCGCACGTTGCCGCAACTGCGCGTGACAGATTGCCGTCGTAACAACGACTCGTAAGGCGGTAAACCAAACGTATTATATTGTATGCCCCATTATAACTTCCACGTTTCGTCCACGAGACGACCGCACATAACCTAACAAACGCCGAAAGACGGGAATTCCTTTTGGCCCTGTCCAGGTGGCTACGTCCGAAAATGGCACGGTGGATGGCCAAAAAAAAAAATGGATACCCCACAATACTACCACTAAGGTACCAGGCCCGGGTGGCCACCTACCACATGGACTTCCGCGTAGTCGTCTGGGGAGACGTACGCGCGTCGGCCACGCGAGACGACGTCAGGACGTACGCGGTAAAGACGGTTACCGCGGTCGAATACGAGCTTACGGTCATCGCGGTGCCGCGCGCCAAAGTTTACGGGGAAGTATTATATAAAATATCGTGGGCCGCGGCCCCCTTGGCCCCGTCATCACTGATCGCGCCGCGCGCCGACCGCGGTTGCGTGCGCGAGCGAGTGTGAGCCGGCCTGCCTGCCATGGTACCGTCGCCCGCCCGCCCGCTCCCGCCTTTAATGGCTAAACGTGTGCGCCGCTGCTGATCTGGCCCGTTTCGCGTGTTTTCTTTTCTTTTTACCGTTTTCGTTCTTTTACTCTCACCCCGCCAGCACGTCCGGACGTATTGTTTTCCGCACACGTCGAACATCGCGGTATCGTATTATCGCTACTGATCGCCGTGCACGGTCTATTAATATCGCCCGTTTAATATAAATCGATTATCGTGTCCATCCGCCGCTGTCGTCGACCGTACGACAACGCCGACAACTCCTGCTGCTGTCAGACCGTCATATTATTATATATTATTATAATCTCCTAGTCGCCATGTCCACCGCCGTCGTCAACAACGTGCTCGCGAGCTGTCGGCGCTGCTAAAACCCGCTCATACTACATCCGATCGCTCGCTCTACGGTAACACCGTATCGCCGCCGCCGTCGTTGTCGAATCACGTGACAGCGCACACAGCCGTGACGCACCGCAATCCTGGCCGCTGCCGTTTTGCGAACCATCTTCATTTAACAATATTATCGTACGAGTTTCACAGCCATCAGCCCAGCCACGATGACGAACCAGCCACCCGGTGCCGTGTCTCCCGCAAAGGAGCCCATTAGGGTCTTCGAGGGAGTCGTCAAACAGGTACGTCGTCCCGAGATTTATACTCGACCACGCTCGCCACGTTTTCCTCTCCTATCACTGTGGCCACCGTGGCCACTAAAATATTTATGACTTATACTCGTCCACAGCCATTGGCCACTAGCCTGGCCAAGGTGGTATTTCGTGTGCGTAGCCGTGACATATCGTTGATGAAAACTTGACCAGACGTCTAGGTGTCATACTTACTCTTGTCGCGGACCATTCTCCATTATCGAACATCCAACCAATTCGTCTGAGACTTACGTTCTGATATCTGGGTTGGGCAGCCGATATTTGAGATAATCTGATATACCTATTTGGGTACTCTAATTTATTTAACCTAAATTATTCCCAATTACTGGAGGTTTTCATCTACGAGTTGTTTTATTACAGTAAGGTACCGAGTATGCAAAGGGTACTTACTACAAACAAGTTATATTTCAATGGGTGATAGAATGGGTCAGTAGAATTGGTGGATGGCTAGATTATATTTATAATATTAAATGCAATACATTTTATATTAATATTAATAGCATTATTCTGTTGAATTTATATGAGGTACACAATTATATAAAGATGTTTGTTTCCTTGGGTTTTTTATTATTTCATTAAAAACGTGTGTAACAGGTATGGTGTAAAATACACTTTATACTTACCAACAATTGCTTTAATCCAATAGGTATAAATATAAATTGTATTTTGCCTATTGGTAGGTGGGAAATGGGTACATTTATTTTCGTTATTGTGAAAGGCCCAACCAATATGTTGATAAACATTGCCCTACTTTCTCAAGTCTAATTTTGTTTCAAAGCTTGATACCTACTTTATTTAGTATTAAAAAAAATATTGTAGTTCGCACTGTTATTCAATGTATCAACTGATATTTTAAATAATTATTTATTTTAATTTAACAAAATTGGCTAGGTGGGTGTTTTCCTAGGTATTCCTCTAAACTATTATTAATTTAGGTGTTTTGAAATAACTCATGATTTCAATGTTTTGTGAGTACTTGTCTATCTTTGTTTTATATTATTTATTTGTATAAAGCTTGTTTACCAATCAAAGTATATAACAACCTTTTAATGTATGAAAATGCGTTCAAACTTTACCTTATTCTAACTCTTTTTGAATTCCACATAGGTTGGTGTATGATGGTTTGAAAAAATAATTTTATATCTATTTACTCTTTAAATAGTCTTTATCCAGTGATATAACACACTGAGGCCCAAAAAAATTCATTGGCATGTTCTCTTGTTGGCCTGAGTCTAGGTAATATGCTAATTTAATGGCATAGGTAGATAAATACTATGAATCCGAGTACCTATATAGAGACAGAGCCATGATAAGAGGGGCAAATGGGGCAATTGCCTCCGGGCGCCATAGTTTTGTTAAAGTAAGGGGTGTCTTTACCTACTTGCGCTTAATGTGCTACCTGGGGCCCAAATTGTAGGGAAGGGGTGAGAATTGCCCAGGGGTGCTGAAGTGCTAGACACGGCTCTGTAGAGGGATATTTCAAAAGTATTTTTAATTTTTACTAGGTACTAATTATTTTTTGTAAATCTGCTATGTAATTAAATCCATTTATAATTTACTATTTAAATCTATACAGGTGAATTCTGGTGATTCTATCACTATCCGCGAAGAAGTATATAATGGTTATCCAAAAGAAAAACAAATTACACTGAACAACATCATTGCTCCCAAATTGGGCCGTCGTGCGTGAGTATTTTAATTTAGTTATATTTTATATTTAATCAAACATTTAATTTATTTGTTCTATATTTCCATTTGGCCAAACTCCTTTGGTTTATTTTAAGTAATACTTATTAACTAAAATTAGTATTTTGCATGTTATTCTTCAAGCTGAATTATTTTGTATATTTAAAATTTTGCCAAAAACAATTTTATGCATTTTTATAACCAACCAGTTGTATGGATATTTTGTAGACGTTTAATGGTTATTGTAAACCAATTATTATAAAAATGTTATAAATATCTCATCAATACTCATGAATGGACTTATTTTTATGATCATCTCCAACTTTAATTTATATAATATGTTTTTCTGTAATCAATCATTTAACTATTTTTTTAGGAAAGTTCTGAAACTTCCTGATATTATTGTTGATGAACTCTTAAAAACCTAAAAATAACCTATTCAATATTTATTTTATTATATTAATTTTTGTGAGTATGAATTGTTCTGTATAACTTAATAAAAGATTTAAAACTGATATGATGGCGATTAAAAAAAAAATGGAGCTATAAAATTATTAGATTTTTAAAAATGTGTGATGTAGGTACTTTGTGTGTTATTATTAATTGTAAAGTGTTTTCAGTACATAAATATTGTGTCAATAAACAAAGGTTTAAACTTGAGATAAATATTATATATTGTTTTATTATTTTTAGAGCAAATAATGATCCAACTTCCAAAGGTACTGATGATGAGCCGTTTTCATGGGAAGCTCGTGAATTCCTTCGTAAAAAGCTTGTTGGAAAGAAGGTATTTTTCAAAACTGCTGGTCAAGTATCTGGTGGTGGAAAGACAACTCGATACTATGGTGACATCTTTTACCCAACATTGGGTGAGAACATTTACTTTTAAATGTTGAATTATATTAATATATATTTATTAATTAAACAAAATATTTTATGTTTTTAGACAACAATATTGTTAACGAGCTTGTTGAAAATGGTCTAGTAACTGTTAAAAATGTGAAGTCAAATAACCCTACTCCTGATGTTCAAGCCCTAGTTGATCTTCAGAACAAAGCTAAAGCTGCGAAAGCTGGAAAATGGGATCCTAATGCAAAGGTATTATGTCAATTTATATTTTTAAATTGCTGTACAAGTAAATCAAATAATGTGTTTATTAATTTTGTTCTTGTAGATCACTGGTCTAACCAGCAGGCATTTGTCAATTAAATTGACTATTTTATACTTATAGCTTCATAAATGTACTCTCTAAATATGACTAACATTTTTATTTTTGTCCCTGCTGCCCTGCAAAACATTGTTAATTTTTGAATATGGCCCTAAATGGTTACTGACAACGATATAGATAAAGTGAAAGTAAACTGAAAGATTTTGTACTTATGGCAATAGAATAAATTATTCTATTAGCAATGGATAATGATGAAAATTATTAAAATTACTCTAGTCTTACTAGACATTACTGGATAAGATTTCTTCTTAAATTCTAAAATTGTAACTAATTTAAATTAGTCCCTTTTACTGTGTACTGGGTACTTAAGACAAATGTATAAAATAATACTTGTAAATGTGTAAACTCTAAACATGAACCGTACAAATAGTGCATATCTTCCCAAATAATAATAATGCATGTTGGCTACAATTCAATATTTGGTGAATGAAGTGTGCTGGTGCTTTTGTATTTTCCCAGGCCGAAATCTCCACTCAACCTGCCCTTGTTCTGTTGTATTATAATTTGACTCATATGTGTAACAAAATATTTTATAATAATTTATTATAGTGCTGCTTACATAAGACATGTGTTTTCATATTATTAAAATATTTTTCTCTGATCTAGAACACCGCAAAGAAAAATAATTCAATTGATGATGTTGAAGCATTTTTGAAGAAAAATTCTAAAAAACGTATGAAGGCTGTTGTTGAATCTGTCATTGACGGGTCCACCATCAAGCTGTTGTTGTTACCTGAAGGAAACATGATCACTCTTTACCTTTCGGGAATCAAGGTAAGGTATTTTTTTTTTTTTCAAAACATGCTGTTATAGTGTGTATATATTATAATCATTTCTTTAAATTGGTTATGTACTTATATCTAATTAACTGTATATAGTGTCCTCCAGAAAGTGTAGAATTCGGAGATGAAGCAAAATTCTTTGTTGAAGTTCGTTTACTACAAAAGGACGTTGAGGTTACTTTGGAAGGAGTGCTTTCTAATAATAAAACTCCATCTTTCTTTGGAACTATCCATCATCCGGTACATTTTAAATTAATTTTTGTTATATTAGGTATATGTAGTAAAATTTATATTTTATAAAATCATTTTTTAAAGGCTGGTGAAATTGCTGTTGAATTGGTTAAACAAGGTTTCGCTACTTGCCAAAATCGTAGTATGAAATACTTAGAAGGAAGTGCTGATAAACTAAGGGCAGCTGAAAGACAAGCCAAGGAAAAGAAATTGAGGAAATGGCAATCGTACACACACACAGGGCCAGAGGTATTAATAATTAGCTAAAGAGTTGGTGTTTAAGAATTTTTGTTAAGTTTAGAATGTTTCTGTTGGCTTAGATTGCAGAAAAAGAAATAGTTGGAACTGTTATTGAAATTGTAAGAGAAGAAGCTTTGTTACTTAAGACTTCCCACAACGAAAAACCAAAAAAAATATTCTTATCCAACATCAAACCAGCCAGGCTAGGAGTTGAAGTACCAAGAGGGTATTTATTATTTTCATATTTCTCTACATACCACAAATGTAAACAATTTTTAATTTGTTGTCTTCAGTGAACCATTTGGTGACGATCAACCACCTGCTCCACGAGCCCCGAGGACTTTGGCTAAACATTTTTACGAGATCCCTTGGGCCTATGAAGCACGTGAGTTCTTAAGAACACGTTGCATTGGAAAGAAAGTAAATGCTTCTGTAGATTACATACAACCCAAATCAGATAAATTTGAAGAGAAAATCTGCGCCACTGTTACAATTAATGGAATGTAAGGTTTTGTTTATCAATAGTTAAAATATTTTGGTTAAGAAATAATACTTAATGTATAATTTTAATTTATAGCATATTTATTATTTAATATGTTTTTTTTTTTATTGCTCAGAAACCTTGCTGAAGAATTAGTAAAAGAAGGTTTGGCAACTGTTATGAACAATCCACGAGATGATCAAATGTCGCAGTGTTTTGATGACTTGAAGAAGGCAGAAGAAATTGCCAAACAATCTCACAAAGGACTTTACTCAAAATCGGCTCCCCCTAAACAACGTATCACCGATTGTTCTAGTGCTGCGGTAAATAAAATTAATTTTGTTTGAGAAGAAATAAATGTAATGATTATTTATATATTTAGGAGTCAGCTCGTGCCAAGGCTCTTTTGCCTAGTCTCCAGCGTTTTCCAAGGTTTGAAGCTTTGGTCGAGTACGTTGCCAGTGGTTCCAGAATGCGTCTTTACGTTCGAAGAGAGTATTCGCTTATTACCTTCCTTTTGGCTGGTTAGTAAATAGTTAACATTTTATTTAAATTTGATTGAATCAATATTGTCTATAATGCATGTTGATTTGTTCCACATATTTATTTTAATTAATGGTAATATCAAGTTCCATCTATGTTATTTAAAAAAAATTTAAATTTTAAGGTATTACATGCCCGAGTGGTGAACGACCCAACCAAGGTGAAGCACCCTCAGCAGCTGAAGCATACCATCAAGAAGCATTAGCGTTTACAAAGGAAAAGATAATGCACCGTGAAGTAGAAATTACTGTAGAATCCTGTAATAAGGGTGGAAGCATGATTGGTTGGCTGTTCGTAGGAAATCTTAATCTTTCTTTGGCGCTTGTAAAAGAAGGACTGGCCAAAGTACACAGGTCGGCTGAGCGTTCAGAATACTTCAAGCAATTGCAACAAGCTGAAAAGGAAGCAAAGGACAAGAAAATTAACGTAAACATAACAATACTTAACGAGTAAAATATTGCATTCTTCAACACTAATTAATTTTGTTCTATATTGTTTTGTATTTAGCTATGGAAAAATTATGTTGAAGAACCTGAAGAGGCCAACAATAACACCAGCAAACCTGTTCATGAAGAAGTGGTAAAGGAACGAAAAACCAACTATGTTGAAGTGCTTGTATCTGAGGTCAGTCCTGAGTTGCATGTCTATGTACAACCTGTATCTGAAGGACCTAAATTAGAAAGTCTAACTGACAACTTGAGGAAACACTTTGATACTAATCCTCCTATTGCTGGTTCTTACAGTCCAAAACGAGGTAAGTTGTTATATATACATATCTGTAATTTTTATATGATGGTTAAATAATATTCATGTTTATTTAATAACATTCTAGGAGAAACGTGTGCAGCTAAGTTTAAGGAAGACCAACAGTGGTACCGCGCCAAAGTAGAAAAGGTTGCTGGCCCGAGTATACATGTTCTGTATATTGATTATGGTAACAGGGACATTGTGACTGCTGAAGAGTGTGCCAATTTGCCACCGACTTTTAAAAATGACCGACCGTATGCCAAAGAATATGGATTTGCACTTGTGAAGCTACCTAAGTTGCCTGAATATCAAGAAGATTCCATTGCTGTTGTACGTGATGAGTTCATTAACAAGACAATCAACATCAATGAAGAATATACTTACGACAATCTTACTCACATTACTGTGAAAGATGCCGACAAAAAAGAGGATCTCGTCAAGAAATTGGTCGAAGAAGGATTCTTATTGGTTGAAAGACGTCGTGAAAGATATTTGCAAAAATTGGTAATAGACATAATATTTGTTGATTAAATTTTTTTTGTATTAAATCATTTCATGTTTTTTTTTATCTAGTTGACAGAGTACATCGAGGCTCAAGAAAAGGCTAAGAAGGATCGATTACATATGTGGGAATATGGTGACATCACAGAAGATGACGCTAAAGAATTTGGTTATGCTAAATAAATGGTCTTTCTTTATCTCCAGAAGACTCAATATCCACTGGTCAGGCCTTTTACAACTGTACAAAAAGGTGTTTTACAAATTTATTAGTCAGCCATATTAATATCTAATTTTACATTCATTAATCTAAACGTTTGATAGATAATAATTATTTATAAATTGATTATATTTTATTATGAATAATATTTTATTTTATTCATCTCGTTTTTTGGTTGTTAACAAATTAAAGATTTTAAAATTTACGTACCATTTATTACTTGTAAAATTGTACTGAGACAGTTGTTTCTATCTATATATAAAAAAAAAAAAAAAATATGTATCAATTTATTGTAATAGTTCAAATATTTTCAGTTTCACAAATTGTAACCATTTTTATGTCACAATTTCGGTTTTAAGTATTACATAATAAGTGTATAATTTGAAATAAAAAATTGTATCAGACACATGGGATAAGATTGTCAAGAATTAAAAAAAAAAAAAACTTAAGTATAGTTTTGTTTGTAACTAAATTGATTTGTTTAATTATAGGATTTTGGGAATTACTAAAATACACTGTACATATAAAATTTTAAATTGGCGTGATTATATGGACGTTATGAACTCTTTGAAGAGTTAACTTGTATTTTAAAAATAATGTAAAAATGTTTTATTATTACTTAAAGCTTTGCTGATACTTAATCTAAACCTTAAATACTTTGTAAAACACTATTATGTCTGATGTGTAGTGTAAAGACTGTTCAGATGGATTATATTATCGATTTACATTATTTTTGCGTTTTCATTCATCACCATTCCATGTTTTTGTCACGGTATCGTATTCCTTTAAAATAAAATGTGGTGTCTAACTTATTATTATAAATTATTGTGTGATGTACTTGCAGTAAAGATACGTTTAATTACGAGTTACAACTCGTATTTAATTATTGAATATTCAATAATCATCAGCTGCTAAATGGTTGCTTTTGGTCTACGACCTTATTGCATGCTATAAAATTAATTGACCTTTTTGTATGACCTGTCTACTCCTATTTTTTACGAGTACGTCATATATCAATGGAAATTGTCTTATCTAATCGTCGGCTGTAATTTCGTAATTTTAGGCGTCTAATTTACATTTTTCAATGATCGATTTAATTGTGTGCACAGCAACTGATTATATTGGCCGGTTTAACTGCAGGTTTTTAAATGGCCGTGAATAACAATTGCAACGCCCCGACCGTGTGTTATCGAAAGTTTTTACGGTAAATGATAAATATTTCTGAAAGCTGTCAAGGCTGATATACCCGACTACCTGAGCACCTAAATTTAATATTTTAACTTTTAAAATGAAAATGTTTATACGATCAAGTACATTGTACAATACACTGGGAATGTGAAGACAAATTACGTGATTATAATATGCAACCGCTCATCACTCTGATTTTTTAATGTCTCAAGACCCAAGAATAATCCCAATTTTTTAGTATTATGCAAGGCATTAATACCTTCAGCCAAGGTTAGCATACGATATAACTCGTTTCACGTTTGGTACAATTCTCGAGTATAAAAATAAGTGATAAGGAATTGAGTAGTTTTCTTTTTAAGATTTGGACGTTGGAACCCAAAACTTATGGGTCTTAACTAAAAAAATCCCTAAAAATATTGATGACCTGAACCCACATCAAATGATTCGACTTTCAGATAATCAATAAACCAAAATCTAATTTTCAAATAGACTTCGCTTTTTTTACATACCGTTAAAAATCATGTTTAATATACAACACACAGTGACGCGAAGAACGAGTTTGTTGCGATTTAATCAAAGTACGCGTTTTATTTAATTTGTCGATAATCTATAACCTAACCAAAATTCTATTGTATTAGTTGTTTCCCTAATAATGCTCATGAACTGTATTGTATAAGATCGTCCTGTTTCTCATCACTTTATTTTATAATCATAACTGTAAAATACAGGTGAATGAATAATATGCTATAGATCGAAACGAAATCCATACTATGTGGGTAATAAAACGGGGAAAAATGGTAGGGAAATTTTTTTTTAATTATCAAATTATTTATTTATTTACGATCTATATCAGAAGGGGGGCGAAAGTTATTTGATGTAAACGAATAGGTATAGAACTAGCAACGTATTGGACGGTTTGGGGAAATCCTATTGACGTGAAAATGGAGAAAAACAAATATCGTGATCGAGCTGTCAATGTCTAATCCGAGGAGTAAGGACTAAAGAACCGTATAGATAGATCGTTAAAAGAAGATCAAGTGACCGACGAAAACGAACAACGAATGTGGCACGTGATTTTCAATGGGCATAGCCTCATCGGGCAATGAGCATGTCGTTTACGCGTGACGCCGTGATGGTCATGGGGCACCGCGACGTTGCGATTTATTTATTCGAATACGCCCGGCAAAACAACGTGGTCCGTCCCGACGGTATAACCTCAAAACGTAGGGATGAATTCGCCTGGACGTTACGGAAATCGGAAAAAATTCTTCCGAACTGTTTCCGTCGGTGAAAACGCTTGTAGGGCTACAGGGAAAAGTAACGGCAAACGATGATATTATAATAATTAAATTAAATTTTTACGATGGAAAATGTCATTAGGTCGGCGGCGGCGGCAGTGAAAACAGCTGTTCGCTGGCCGTGACGTCATGACGTTCGATTATCGTTGTGCGGAGCGCCGCCCGACACGACGGCGGCCGACTAGGACTGGCGACTTGTCTTTCTTTCGCATCGCACCGTTCGACACGAGCAGATCAGCTTCGCTCCGTTCAGCCAGCAAACAGCTAGCTGTCCTTTTTTCAGTTCATTTTTCTCAAAGTACTTTTACGACCTTTTCCACCACCTCACAATGGCCGAAACCAAAGCGCCAAAAGACCCGTACGGTTTCTTGAAGGACTTCATGGCCGGTGGTATCTCCGCTGCTGTGTCGAAGACCGCCGTCGCTCCGATCGAGCGCGTCAAGCTTATCCTGCAAGTGCAGGCCGCTTCCACGCAGATCGCAGCTGACCAACAGTACAAAGGTAAGACGGGGTGACATTATTGTACGACATTTTCCGAAACGGTAACGCTTTCCGTTTGAAAACGAGACACGTCTCATCGTCTTCGGTTTTTTTTCACTTCGGATTTTCGGCCCGGGGACGCGGCGGCGGCGCAATCGATTCCGTAGAATTAGGTTAGCTCGCGGCGGGCGGGGCTTCCGTTGTCGTCGTCGTCATCGTCATCGTTTTTCTTGCCTTCGGTTTAGATTTTCGTCTTAAATCCGATCGTGTATGGACCACGCCAGATTTATCAATTATGTACCATGACGTATCATCACTCGTGGTCGGTGGCGTACATTTTTATTTTTTGGCCAAAAACGCCATTTTGCCCGGTCCGGTCCATTTTCTTTTGTTATTATTATTATTACTTCATATATATGCGTTTTAGGTCTCCATAATATATAATTCTCGTTTTCGTTTAGGTACATTTTTTTAGGTATTGTTTTTAAGGTTAGGATTATTTCGATTGCGGTTTTCCTTATTTGCCTATATCTCTCATATTTCGGGTCGTTGAACGGTGCAATTTAAGTTTTTTTTCAGCATTGTAAGCGTTGTTCCGGTGGGGACCAGTCGAACATTTACAACATTTTTGCAGTCCTCTTGTCGACAATGTTATCAGGCGCGCCCCACAGTTCGTCGTTGCGCATAATATTTCCGTTAGTCCGATCGATATTTATTGATTTTACAACACTATGCAGTTTGACCGGAATTTTTTCTTTAAAACATATTAATATGAGCCGATTACGATAATTAAATAAAATAAGTTCTCATTGAGTATGGCTACACTCGTACATAGACACATAGTATAATATATAATTGTATAATACTACAATAAATTCACCAATGACGTGCACTATTTGAGAATTGCCCATGTTATTATTAAAATATTTGACGATTTTAATCAATTATTACCGTCCACATTTCAAGGCCAAAGGAATATCGGAATTTATATAGAATTTTATAGATAGGAATAGGTACCTAATATCCATAATGTATAGATGAATAATTTTTTATATTTTTTTCATCGATCTATTTGTTATGAATTGCTGATATTCACGACAAATTTTAACAATATAGGTAATAATAGAATGACTTTATAGTATCATATTAATAATAAATGAATAATTAATGATAGGTGTATAATTTTAACTATGATTGATTGCAATTTAGAATTTGTATAGGAAATACTTAACTAAACTACCTAAGACATTTAATCAACTGATTTAGCAGAAGAACTTTGACTCCAATTATTAGATTGATATTAATTCTTTTATAGGTACCTAATAATAATTTGTAATCAAAAAAATATGCATTTTTGATGATTACCACAAAACTTGCTTTCTTGTCTCATAAAATTCCTAGCTATTAATAATAATTTATTTTACTAACATTTATGTCAGTACGGGTACCTAGTTAACCTCTTATTATGTTAACATTATGTATCATTATTATTCTATATTTTAACTTCAACATTTAACCATCTAAACCAAGACACTGTTAATGATTTATCCTATTTCTAGAAATCTACTTTAATTGGAAAAATGTCCATTTGACCTAAATAATTATTAATAAGTGATAACAAATAGATAAGTGTTTAACTTAAAATGTAGGTGTTCACTGCTACTATTAATTTAAATAACTTTAAGATTTTATATTAATTGTAGGTACTACAACTTTGTATTAAAACATTCAAACATGGGTTTTTGGGGATTAATTTTGGTTGATAATTTCCTCAAAAAGTACCTAGATTGTTATTATTTGTATTATTTAAAGTTGTCCTGCACAATTACTATAACTGAAATTTTTATTTCTGTCTATTAATTAAAACATTATGGCACAGCAATTAACATTATGAAAATGGTTTTCAATTGTATACCTAGTTTAAAAAAGTGGTTAAATAATGAAGCCTGTTGATTTAATAAAAAATATATGTATATAGGTATATATATATTGGCAATAATGGGAAATGATTAGTGATAGAAAATTTGATAAAATTTGAATATTAGTAGAAGGATAACCTAAAAAGATGGACATGGGAAAAGTTATTGGAAAATAAATATCATATCATAAAAATAACATGTTTAAATTAAATTTTTAATTTATTTTTATAAATAGGTAGTAGGTACTTAATGAAAATATAAAATTCCATATTCAAGTTAGGTAGGTACCTATTATTATTATTATTATTATTATTTTTTTTTATTATTAAATCTGCAAATTCTATGGTTATTGGCTTATTATTCAAGTTAGTTATTAGGTACTCTAAATTAATATTATTTTTTTTTCATTAATTAACCTGCGGCAACTTGGGCCATTAAATGGTTTTTAACTGTAAGGGAAGGTAGTGTGGGTTTTAAACCAGAAATTGGAACCTTTATGATTTTATTAGTTTGGGTTTAGATTTCGATTTTTAAAAATATCAATTTTCGGTTAATACCGGTTTTAACTCTTATTATTTGACTTTTTATTTTTATCAATAAGGTACTATAAAAAAAATGAACATATTAATAACCTCTTTTTAGTGACAGGTATTTGTAATTAAGTGTAACTATTTCAGAATTTAGGTAATATGATAAAAAAATTAATTATTAAAAATAATAAAACAAATTTTAATATTTAAAATAAATAAAACATTATTATTAAAAAAAAAAATTAGAATGAATTTTTGACACACTTAGATATAAAATATCTTTAGGATTTTGGAACCAAATAAACTGTAAAAACCTCTAAATCAAAATATTGGGTTTCGGTTCCTAAAAAAAAATGTATTTAAGGGGTCCGGTTTTGGTAAAAAACCGGTCAATTTCGGTACGGCTCCAGTCCCTGTTTTATTTGGGCAGAATTTTCAAGTGGGCACCCGTAGGTATTTGTAATGCCGGGGTGGGGGATGTCGGCCTCTCCCTCCAGATACCTTGACTGCCCGAGGAGAAGTGCCGTACGTTTCTCGAACCAACAATGGGGTCCGTCGCAACCGATGCCTTAATCCGCTCGGCCACTCTGTCCCCCTAAAATTAATATATTATATCACCGATAGTTGGTAAATACTAATATGTTGTGTGTAATTTTTGATGAACCAAAATAAATACAATTATAGTAGGTAGGTACCTCCTCCCTATATTATTAGTTATTACAACATACAACCATAAGTTTACCAAGTAGTCCGTTAAAAGTTTTTTTTATCTACTTAATTTATGTTCTAATAATGTACCTAATTATAGGTGGTAGGTACTTAAATCATTTTTTTTTTGTAAGATTTCTTGTTAGTTTAATCATAAAACTCATTTCTATAACTAGATTGCTTTACCTTCAATGCAATTATAACTTAGGATGTGTACAAAAATTATAGATTTTTACTATATTTACCTGTATTTATACAGTACTTAATTTTTTTTTCCTTTTTTGTTCTCCTAGCATTAATATTGTGTTCGTCTATTATTTAGGAATTATGGACTGTTTGGTGAGAATCCCAAAAGAACAAGGGTTTGCCAGTTTCTGGAGGGGTAATTTTGCCAATGTCATCAGATACTTCCCAACACAAGCATTAAACTTTGCTTTCAAGGATGTCTACAAACAGGTGTTTATGGACGGTGTGGATAAGAAGACCCAATTCTGGCGGTATTTCGCAGGTAACTTGGCATCTGGTGGTGCTGCTGGAGCAACATCTTTGTGCTTTGTATACCCACTTGATTACGCACGTACAAGGTTAGTAAAGATTTTATCTACTTTTGCTATGTAATATTAACTGTGATTTTTTTAATGCTATAGATTAGGAGCTGATGTTGGTAAAGGACCAGCTGAAAGGCAGTTCAAAGGTCTTGGCGATTGCTTAGCAAAAACCGTCAAGTCTGATGGACCCATCGGTTTGTACCGTGGTTTTATTGTGTCTGTCCAGGGTATCATCATCTACCGTGCTGCCTACTTTGGATTCTTCGACACAGCTAAGGGAATGTTGCCAGATCCCAAGAATACTCCATTCTTAGTTTCATGGGGTATTGCCCAATTTGTAACAACATTCGCTGGTATTATGTCCTATCCATTTGACACAGTCAGACGTCGTATGATGATGCAGTCTGGCCGTGCTGCTGACCAACGCATGTATAAGAGCACATTGGACTGCTGGAGTAAACTTTACAAGAACGAAGGTACATCTGCCTTCTTCAAGGGTGCATTCTCCAACGTACTCAGAGGTACTGGTGGTGCCTTGGTGTTGGTCTTCTACGACGAACTCAAAAACCTCATGTAAATTTCATTTTTTAATGGGATTGAACAATATTGTGCAGTTTAAATGTAATTCAATGGACACTGTTGTAGAATAAACATTCCTTAATAAGTGCAACATTTATTATTCATAACTGAGCTTCTCATTCCAATTTTTCATGTACCTATTATTCTATACCGTATTTGTTTTAATTTTATCAGTTATGATCCAAATTTTTTAGAAAACCTACTTATGTAAAAAAAACTATTTAGGTCCGTGTAATGGTTTATTTTTAATATTGTATTTATTTCATAATTAATAATAAACCATAGTATAAAAAAAAAAATGATGTGTTTTATTTGTACTTGTATAATCATCTGTAGGGTATTAAAATAAAATACTTATAAACATGGATTTTGTTGAATGCTTTTATCATTTACTATGTTAATGTTTATAATTTTTTTGCTAGTATAATTAAACATCTTTGTACTATGTAAAATTGACATAATATATTGTTATATTGTTATATTTTATAATATTATAATATAGTACATGTTGAAGACTTTGAACGATCAAAGTATCAAACCCAATTGATAAGCAATAGTACATACTTTGTCTGTACCTGTATACTAGTATTACTTTGATGTCTTTTTGTGGAAAGTTTAGGACAAAATAAAAGTAAAATAAATTATTATAATAGTTTTATTCTAATCACAAAATGGGTACTACTACAGTTAGATTGTAATTTTTATATTTCATAGTTTGTGTGATATATTGTGAACATTAGAACAACTGAATCACAATAATTGTTTGCACTGCTAACTTACTTATTTTCACAATTTTAGATTCTGGATGGAATGATGAATCTATTAGTTTTACGATGAATCATTGCAAATTATGTTTTCATTGAGGAGTGAAAACACTAGGAAAAATACTTCAATATTGAAGGTGATCTTTTTTACCAATTAGATCTAGTTTCTGCTTAGTGTGTTCAAAAGCATAAAAGTAGTTGATTGCTCTACTCTCCAGTAGTCTGTTGTGTTGTGTATCTCGTCATTGTATAGGTGACTGTTGTAGATGTGTTATTTTGAAAACTACTGGCAATTTTTTACTTTTGACCCCAAAAAGTATCAACTACACTCACTTTCCTATCAGAAAAGATACTGTTGAAAATCTAAGCACGTTTACTGTCCTAAAAGGTGATGACAGACAAAAAAAAATTAAACAAAAAACACATCATTGAAAATCAATCGCTGCACTCAGAATCTAACATTTTAACTGAATAAGTTATAAACAAAAATAATTAGCTGGTAAAGTTAAAAAAAAAATAGTTTCAAAATCTCACCTTTGCATTTACATATTGTACATGTAGCATATTACAGGGCCGGTTTTAAGGGGGGGGCACCGGTGGGCAATTTCCTGGGGGTGGCAAAATTATCTCAGATAAAATAAACAAAAAATTAATTTTTTTTGTAGAGAGAAAGATTTCTAAAAAATAATACATTTTATTATTATTTATTTTTTAAATTCACATATGTATACATTTTTTTTTACCTATATTTTATCATTTTAAATAAAGAAAAATAAACGTTATTAACTAAGTAGGTACCCTACTAGGTATCATGGAAGATTCTAGGTAGATAGTAGTATAGTACCTAAGACCTAAGTTATAAATTAGTTACTTATGTTTTTTTTGTATAGTTTACCTACTATTAAAAATCTAATATTGTAATGCATAGGTACCTAGTTAAAATTGCTAAAAATTAACTGCAAATTAAATTTTAATGAGAAAGGGAAACATAAAAAATGAATTAATTTTATCCCCCCCCCCCCCAAAAAAAAATAAAATTTAGCCACCACTTCTATGGTATTAAAAAAAATGTGTTGGAAAGGGGTGCCATAAATATTGTGTCCGGGGACGAAAAATCCCTAAATACGCGGCCCTGGGCATATATAATGATAGGTATTTGTTCAAAACATTGAATAAATGGTATTTTATAATATTGTCGAGGTATTTAGTGGTAACAGATATGTACCTAATGCAGTGTTGGGTTAGGTTAGGTAACGAAAGTAACGCGTTACGTAATTTCATTAGAATTATTTACAAGTAACGAAAATGTAATGGAAATTATTTTTGATTAGTAATTTCTATAGGATAACGCGTTACAGTTTCGAATTTTTAAGTACCTACCTGCCTATTGCGAATTGAAAAAAAAATCTATGTCTATAATGCGGGTTTTATTATGTTTACAAATCTAATATGTATATGTATATATTTAATTTTAACTCGCCAAAGTTCAGTTTTCAATGGTTTTGACATTTGACATGTCGAATGAATTGCACCTTAAATCACGGGAACAGTTAATTAAATTTATTATTTAATTTGATTCCTCTAAATAGGTATAGGTACTACTGTACTAGGTACTTTCGCAGAACTTTTCCTATGAATATCTAACGTGGACTATTAAGTTAAAACTATACAGGTTTTATAAAGAATTTAGTGTTCAATTTGAAAATACTTATTAATTATTACTATATTTAGAATTTACATTAGAATATAACATTATTTATCTGAAAATTAAATAAATCCAATTATTTACATCGTACTGTTATAAATCATTATAGCCATATTTTGGTACTTATTAACGGTTTATTTTTATAATTTTATAAGTTCTTATTGTGTTCTATATGTATTTTGATTTTATTTTCACATAGGTACCTAAGGTTAATGTTGTGAGTTTGTGACATGAATACATAATATACTTAACTATACCTACCTATAATGATAAATTACCATTGATAAGTAGGTAGGTACAGTTAATTAGTACTATTTTTTAATAGTCATAACTCATAGTTAATTACTATTGTTATAAAAATATTAAATATGTATTAAACATTATTGCCTGCAGAATGATAATTGCCAAGAAATTTGAAAAAAAAAAAAAATTTTGTAACGAGAAAGTAATGAGTTACTTTTCTATTTTAAAAGTAGAGTAATTTCATTACAATTTTATTTGAGTAACGAGTAAAGTAACTTAATTACATTTATCTCTAAGTAACGAGTAAAGTAACTTAATACTTTTTCAAAGTAACTTACCCAACACTGCCTAATGATTTTTTAATGTCTATTTTGTTATTACAAGCGTTAACAATCGCAGTAATAGCCAATAGGTATGTAGGTAAAAATATGTGGTCTTAGGGAACCGTAACAATATGAATTAAGAATAATTCAATTTAAAAACGACAAAACAACAACACACCCCAGTAAACACAGCACGTATAACCTACGTTTATAATAAGACTAATTTTGGTGTATACATATACGTAGTTATTAATCGTATAATAACGGTATAATATACGTTTAAATAGGTTTATTTTACGTTTACAATACGTACACCTATACTCGTATATTTTCCGTGATTAAAGTACGTTAATTCAACGTTGATCATACGTTGATCATTGGTAAGTCGAACTTCCGTCGAAATATGGTTTATGATATACATATATTTTACGTTTACAATACGTACACCTATACTCGTATATTTTCCGTGATTAAAGTACGTTTATTCAACGTTGATCATACGTTGATCATTGGTAAGTCGAACTTCCGTCGAAATATGGTTTATGATATACATATATTTTACGTTTACAATACGTACACCTATACTCGTATATTTTCCGTGATTAAAGTACGTTTATTCAACGTTGATCATTGGTAAGTCGAACTTCCGTCGAAATATGGTTTATGATATACATATATTTTACGTTTACAATACGTACACCTATACTCGTATATTTTCCGTGATTAAAGTACGTTTATTCAACGTTGATCATACGTTGATCATTGGGTAAGGCGAACTTCCGTCGAAATATGGTTTATGATATACATATATTTTACGTTTACAGTACGTACACCTTACTCGAATATTTTTCGTTTTACATGTACGTTTATTCAACGTTGATCATACGTTGATCATTGGTAAGTCGAACTTCCGTCGAAATATGATATATGATATACATATATTTTACGTTTACAGTACTGTACACCTTACTCGAATATTTTCCGTTTTACATGTACGTTTATTCAACGTAATCTATACGTTGATCTGTGATATGTAAGTCGAACTTACGTTGAAATATAGTTAATAATATATATATATTTTACGTTTACAGTACGTACACCTATACTCGTATATTTTTCGTTATACGTGTACGTTTATTCAACGTTGATCATACATTCATATGTTGATCATTGGTAAGTCGAACTTACGTCGAAATATCGTTAATGATATACCTTCATATTTAGTACGTTACCATCACGATTAAAGATATAAATATATAATTATATCTTTAATCGTGGTTACCATAATAATAATATAGTGGGCAGTGTTCACAGTACCGCACCCCGCACTGCCACTGGGTTATATCAATGTATCATGCACTTTGCACAATCCCGATAAGGACTATTCAATTATCATTGTGGATTGGGGAATCCCGTTAATAAGTTATAAATATTTAAACGTTCCAAGGCCGATTGTTTATTTGCCAGGGTATCCCAGTCCCCACCGTCATTCCCGGCCAACGCCACCATCTTACTCTGTCCCGCACCCGCCGCTCACTATCGTCTAATCGTCTCTACTAGTGTACTCTGCAGTCTGCGTCTCTGCGACATTGTTTAGTGTATACACCTAAGTACCTAACACGTATTCAACACTACTGTTGTTCATTTAAAAGAACTACATCACAAGAAATATTGTCATAAATGTGAGTATTTAATTTTTATTTTATAGTGTCAGTACATTTATTATAATTAGTGACTAGGCAGGCACGGCTATAGAGTTTTTTTCCCGAGTGGAGTGAAACAGATACTTTTTGTACAGAATATATGCCTTACACCTGGGCTATGATTTTTTCAAAAAGTACAGCTTTACTCAGTGTTTACTCAGATAACTGATTTCATTTAATTTTACATAATATAACTATAAGTACACATTTACAGATATAAGTATTTTTTTTAATACTAATGTAGTTTTTATAGTCTAATT